AAAGTTGATTTCCAATGTTGCTGATGTGGTAATATAAAAATCTGATGCGCGAGCCAACTGCCATCTATTATTTTAAAAAAGGATCTAAACGTATAATGAAATAAATTTTACTCTTGATCATTACTTCTCATGTACACTCCTATGCACGAGTACACATAAAATTTCGTACTGGGATTTCCCCTAATCATTCATATCTATGGATTCCCTTGTTTTACATTCTCCTCCTTTTCTCTCTTTTATAGCTGTTTTAATTTTCCATTTCCTTTCATCATCTATCCACTCTTTCTTATACCAAGAACATCATAATCACTTTGGTTGTATTACAACCTCTACACTAATGTACGTAAAACCAAGGTAAACTTTACTACACTTGTGTTCATTTCAATACACTCATATCCAAGGCTTGTATCCATTTTCAAACCAAAAAAAAAAACTCATACCGTTTGATTCAATTACACCTTTTTCTGGAATAATTTAAATTCAAGATATTTGCTCCCAACACCATCAGTAAATAAGAAATTAAATAAAATAGGTACAACCCATTCTAGAGCAATTTCAAACATCATTCTTGAAGTTAATCCATAAATCTTTTGAATGAAAACTCTTTCAATCCAAAAACACACCAAGACGATCATAAAAATATGGCAAATAATTATCTTTGGTGAGAATAACTAAAATCACATAAGGTAAGAAGAATGGATAAAAACTTAGGCAACTTACACAAGGCAAGAATTACCAAAATTATTAGGTTAAAATTACTAAAATTGTTTGACGCAATAAATTATAAGGAGTATTTTAACATTGATTTTTACAATGTGAGAACTCCAAAATTAGCTTTAATTATGGAGAAAAATACGAAGCATGTTTTTAATATGGCAAAGAGTTGATTGCCAACTCATACTCCGTAGATTACATGGCATGTTTCAAAAAATTGTCAAATGTACTGTTACTCGTCAAATTCTAATGAAGTGAGTCTGAAATATTGTAATAAAATAATTTATTATTTACTATATTACTCATTCTAATTTATTTAATCTTCACACAAATGAAGTTGATTATTATTGTATTCTTGTGACCGTGCTCTATTGATAATGAACATGAACAATGAGAAAAAAGAATTGGAAAAGTGGAAAATAACAAATGAAAGGGGTGACTCAGCTAGTAGACACCATTAATTCCAAGAATGATTTTGCCTAGGGACTGCTACCTGGCAAAGATGATTGCCGTCATAGCGAGGTAAGGGCTTCACCATTCCATGGACTCATTCGACCCTTTTTCTGCTTCTCCACCCATTGGATCATGGAGGACGACCTTTCTTACCCTGAGGAATGAAACCCTAACCCCACAGCCACCCACCAAGGTCGCTCACCTGCTTCAAAATCTCATTTTATCCCAATCGAATGCCCTGATCGATGTGTCCACCGACTTGGCCCCTCACAAGGTGTTCATTTCTATTCCTTTTGCGGGCACTTATGCTTCGCACCTGTTTATATGGTTGCTCGGACAGTGAGTCTTTTGGAACTAAGTGTCTTCTGTATCTGGTTTTTAAGGTTAAGTCGGACATGCTGTTCTTGATGGAATTGGTTCAAGGAATCACCGGTTGTGATGCATTTAATGTTGTAGAAACCTGTACGCAGTTGTCCCATTTGGTTAGCAACATTTTCTACAAGATGCCCCTTTTAAAATCTGATGTTTTCCATCACAGTGGAAACAGTACCATATTCTTAGTGTATTACAAATGTACACATACTTTCTTGCAAATTAGTTTCTCAAGGCAGTTTCCTTTTTTGCTGTATCCTTTCTGCTTGTAATTAATGTATCACAATTTTTTTTGAAGGAAATGTTTCACAATTTTTCATGTGTGTGCTACAAGATTCTATGTGCCCATTTCAATTTTATTTTCTTTAAACATTCTCTACCGATTTTTACATTTATTTTACTGGGGAATGTTAGTAATGCTAGTTTTTCTATGCTGCAGGTTTATTCTGTCAGCAACTTCATTCCTATCAAAATAAATTATAGTTCATGGCCTCTTGTGCTCAGCTTCTTAAATAGCATGATAGAAATTTTTTTCAATAAAACTAAGACAAAGATGGCTTTTATTAGCACTGCTGATATTGTTACAGCCGCAAAACAGTGTCTAGAGATCAAAAAGTATGTTCTCTTTCCTCTGTTTTTTCCTGCTGGCACTTCATGAGCAATAATAATTCATTCTGTGCAGCTGTTCATGCTTCTTTTAGTTTCTCTTTGCTTGAACCTGATCATTGTTTTCTTTTTGTAAATCTTATATCTCGATCGCTTTTCTTCAGCTTCCAGTTTAACTACAAAGTGACATTCTTATGTTAGTTAATTGTGTATTTTGTGAGGCTCATGTCTTCCCATTTTGTCCTATACAGACGCCTTTTGGATGTGAATGAGAGAATGACATTCTTCTTGCTCCTCTATTACGATGAATATCACAAAAGCCAATTCTCCTGCATATCACAATGGCCAGTTCACCTTAAGCTGTACGGTGATTTCCTCTTGTCCAGCATTCATACCTTCCCGGTGAAATAGGCATAATTTTCGCGTGTCCCCTAGCAATGGATTACAATCCTTGGGCGATTCGAATTGTTAGCATAATCAACCCCCGATTTCCAGATTCTTGGCGGTGCGTATCAAATGTGCAGATTTCCCGGTATGATTGATACGTTTTTTCTGATTCCTCATCTTGTATTTATGGATCCTTCCCTTAATATACCCCGGCCAATTATTTCAGTATGCACGTTGGGCTATTTATATTCGATTTTGGAGATGGAATGAGGCACCATCTCCAAGATTCCTCCTAGGTATAATCTTATGACTTCTTTGGCTTGTTCTTCTCTTTGTTGTTTGTTTCTATTACTGAAAGAAGGGTCATTTCTCACCTACAGGTAGGGCTGAACCTGCAATAGTTTGGAAAATCATTCTTCAGGTAATTTAAATTACACGTATTCAAGTCAAAAACTTTGAAGGGCCAGGTAGGAAGAGTAGCACACTGAATGGGTTGTGTGAAAATATTGTATTGCCTGAGCGCATTATCAATGTCGGCAAGGATAGAGAAACAAAAGTTGAAGTGACAAGCCGAAAACGGCTGACATTTGATGAGAGTGATGCAGAGCATGAAAAAGTGGTCCATGTACCCCCTAGAGAAGAAACATCTCTTCAGAACTCAGCCAAAAAACCAAAAAAGTATGATTCATTACTTTCTATATTCAAATTTAAAATAGTTCTCATCAGTTTTTTAAGACAATGTTGCAATTCATTTTTCCCCTTCCCATTATTTGCAAAAAAAATTCCAAATTTTCATCAAGTTAGTTTAACTTTCGTTTATACCATTAGCATTTGAAATGTGGTCCATGCTTCATTCTTTATTTCTAAACTATTCACTTCGAAACATTTTGTCTAGGAATAAAACGGTTACATATTTTACCAGCGACTGTGATGTTACCTGTTAAAAACTATTTGACAAGTATATTGTGATTAGGGAAAATATATTCATTTAATTGAGTACATTCTTTATGATATCCCAGTGTATAAAAGATATAGAATCTGTTCTACCTTGCAATCTTCAGAGATACAAGTGTCACATGCGTCTACTTTTCTTCTTTTCTGCATATGTTGCTCTCACTTTTATTTTAGGAACTGTCAGAGGCAAGGGTTGCCCTTTCACTGATTTTACATATTTAAGCAGCATCTGTGATATGACATGTTAAAAGGGAAAGGGATTTTACACGTCTATATTGATTAGTGGGAAAATATATTAAATGAATTGAATATATTACTTTTGATAAATCCCAATGTATAAAAGATATAGAATCTGCTGTAAATTGCAATGTTCAGAGATACAAGTGTC